GCAGAAAGTTCTGTTGGACTGTGCTCCTCTAAAGCATTTGAGCCTTGTCCTAGGGGGAATACTTTGTAGAGAGGGTGATGAGTCAGTGTTGCCTGAGTGCCCCCCCCCCCTTCTCGCCTGACCTTGTGGGGATAGATGGGAGAAGATGCTGAAATTCTTGCTGATGTTCTCACAGATGAAGTGTTAGGAGCTCACTGGGTCTCCTCTCTCTTCTGCCTACAGTGTTGGAGAGCTGGCTGGACTACACTGGGGAATTGGAGCCCCCGGAGCCACTGGCCAGGCTTCCGCAGCTCAAGCATTGCATCAAGCAGCTGCTGATGGACCTGGGCAAGGTGCAGCAGATTGCACTCTGCTGCTCAACATGAAACTGGGCACCCAGAACTAGTGGGGGCACAATCCTGGGGCACCTGCAGGAGGAGCTTTGCATATTTAAATAAATAAACCTAGCATGCCGAATGCACGTGACACCGACTGACTTCAGGGATCTGGGCAGGGGGTGTGATAGACATTGGACAAAGGGGCCATTTTGGCTGCTGGAGGGCAGGGCACTCTGATCTTGAAGCCTACCAAGAAGGTAGCAAATAGACTCTTGGGATTCCCTTCTTCTGTGCACATCGTTGAATGGAGAGTGAGTCTTTTTGCACAAACTTGACTTGAAATTGTGCCACCGATAAATGGAATGAGAGCCAAAAAAGTTTAGTCGGAAACAGTTGTAAATTCAACTTGCAGCTTATTTAATTGACTTTTTTGTCAGGGTGGGGCACATGCCAAGCCTTCTTGTTTCTGCCTGGCATGGATTTAGGCAGCAGGCACCATTTTCATTTTTCCAGCTTCGTGAGGATGTTGTGACTTCACATTCTGTGGAGGTTGGGAAGGAGCAGAGGCCTTGGCTGCCCTGCCTTCTCCTTAGGACTCTTCACTTTTCTCACCACCTGTCTTGCATGACTTCATGGTACCGGGGACAAGTTTTGTATGCTTTTACCCCAGAGTTGGCTGGGTTGTGTCTTTTGTAGCAGAGCCCGAACAGCCTGTGGAGGAACTAGAATCTCACAGTAATAAGAATCTAGGAGGATTTCCAAACTGAAGCAGGCAGGGTCTGGAACCCAAAGGACAGCGTTTTCTACCCACTTCTTAATATTGACAGCTTCCCGGTTCTATTTAATGTCCAAAAAATGTTTCCCCAAATTTTGAACTCTTTCACTGTAAAGATTTGTTAAAAAGAATGTGGTTTGGAGGATTACCTTATTTTCTATTGTTGTAAACAAACTTCAGATTCTACATGTGCTGTTTTTCTCCTTCCCAGAAGGGTGTATGTTCAGTAGTTGGCATTTTCAAAATTGTTTTAATATACTTTAACACTTTAGATTCCCTGTTTGTATTATTTTGTGAGGTCAAGGTGATAATGCTGCTTAAGGTCCAGGTACAATTTGTACCTTTTAAGACATTTGTTACTCTTGCAGGTTACATGTGTAATTGCTATATTGTTTTTCTTTGCTAGACAAAGTTAAAGAAAATGTTCCATGCTTTGAGGAGTGACCCGTTTCACCATTTAGTTTTCTTATCACTAAAGGCAAAAATCAAAGCACACTTGTCCATTAACACTCACAAGTTAATTATGGGTTTATGAATCTGTAATGTTATATGCTGCAAATATTTACTATGTAAACGTGAAGTAGCCAATATCTCTATAGCAATGACAGTATCTCCAGCGCCATTTGGAATGATTAGGCCTTGAAGGCACACAGGTTCATTGTGGTCTTGAAGGCCTCTGTACCAAAATCTGTTTCAGGGAATGCTCTGTCCAGTGATTTCTTCACCATTTGATATAAAATGAATTTAGGGCCAGTTGACCTGCTGTAGCTTATCCATCAGAGGAAGACATGTGGCTGTGACATCTGTAGTAAAGCTGACGCAGTTCCTCTCCAAGAGGCTCTTTCCCATTGCTAACGTTGGCATTTCTGGTGTGGGAAGAAATGTCTAAGGAGTGTGCATGGCATCTATGTTTTGCGCAATTTATGACAGCCACATTATAAGAATGGTGTATTTGTCTGAAAAGGGATGAAACAGGATGATTTTCTGTAGCCACAACTGTGAGGTATGATGACTGTTGTATTACTAGATTACTGATTTTTCTTTTCTCAGATACATTCGAGCATCACATCTGGGGAAGCTACTACAACTTTAAGGGAGTCAATGTCATGTCTTTCTCAAAGGTGGAAGCAGAAACTGAATTACCCTAATTCTGCCAAGTGGCCATTATTGGGTTTATTGTGTATAAAGGAAATAATCCCATTTCACTCATTGTGACTTTTGTCTTTAGGGAAGCAGGGATGAGTCCCAAGTTCTGATAACCTCAGTGTGCTTCTCTAATTTAAAGCCATGTTTAGGGGCTCCATCCCCAATTCCTGGGTCAGGCTGAATTAACCCCAAGTTGGAGCACTGGAAACTGTTATTTGCAAAGATTACTGTTACCATTTAGAAATATGTACACTACCTAAGTTTTCTTTTGAGAAAAACTATCCACCTATAAAAAATTGCCTTGACAAAAACAGTTCTGGTTTGACTAATCATTTTGTTTCTTTAAATGAGTGTTATGCAAGGTGGACCCTTGATGAGCCAACATTGCACTGTGGATACATGTCTATGTTTACGCGCTATTAGAACAGAAGGCGCTGTATATAGAAATGTTGCTTTGAAGCAATATTTGCAAAACATGCAAACTTCTGTATCTGTATTTGGAAAAAATAAAACAGGTTTTTGTTGCTATGTTTCAATCATGTTATTATAAAGTTCTGTACCCTATTTTTAATATGCATTACATAATTTTCTATAAACATCTTTTAGAGGAAGACTTACATTGTAAACAGATAGATGTATCTTCTGCAGGGAAGCAGATGCAAGCTCAAGATTCTAAATCCCAAGAAAGTATGCAAAATAATTTTGAATTCATCTAAGGGTCTTTAATATGTGAATGTAAAATGTCCCACATTGTCCTCTAACCCAGTCTGGCTTGTGCTTTGTGGTGTGAGCTGCAGGCTTATTAGATTTCAGTTGTTGAGAGCAGTGAAGTGAAGATAGGTCTGGCCTTCCTCATATTAAGAGATGGCACCCATTGCAATTAGGACCCTTCTGAGACCAATCCAAATTGCCTATGGACCCCAATTAGTTCCTTCCTGGGTGGACAGAAGACTTAGGGAAAAATAGGCTTTAAGATTTCATAACAGAGCTTCCCTATTACTTGCCAAATTCCTTCTTCTCTTTCTAAACAATTATGCTTATTAAAAAAGTATAGCTAGAGAGAATTAGAGTGGCTCCAGCAATGTAATAATTCATTAGTTCATGCCAGTTCTACTTAAATTCTAGGGGCCTAAAATATGACAAGAAAGGTGAGTTTGGAGGCTTAAACCAGAGCTCACAAGGAGCTCTCCCTAAGGAACTGCACTAAAACACTAAAATAGCCCACAGGCGTAGGTCTTTTGGGAAGCCTGTGCCCAAAGGGCAGGTTGGTGTAACAAGTTAGTGGCCCAATTGGTATAGAGGTAGCCAGTTGAGTAAGCACTTTAGTAGAGTCGGATAATTACCTGCCACAACCACTATCCACTACCTTTTTAGGTGGAAAAGCAATTTCATATTCTAGTGAGAGGTAGGGGCCAATATAGAACCACGGCTGCTAAAACCTTCTTTACGGAGACCCCAACTAAACAATGGAATCCCAAGTGGGGTCCTGTGGAGCGAGGAGAGAAATTTCCCAGATGTGGAGGCCCAGGCCTAGCCAATACGCTAATGATCCCACAAAAGCCAATAAATGCCAAGTGAATAGGGAACAAAGGCTTTATTCTCATGGGCTCCCAACTTGGTTTCGCCACCAGCCAAAAAGGAGGTTGGAAGGAGAGGCTCGGGAGAATAAACCTAGTAAAGAACGAACGAAAGGGACACATCAGACGACTGGAGCTGCCAAAAACTCGGTTTTCATCAACGCGGAATGGAGAGCCAGGCTCAGGCCCCCAGACCCGATCGTGGCCGCAGTCCATAAAACGCCCGAGCCCGGTCGCCCGCAGCTCCACAGCTCAGCCCGTGATGCGCACATCCGTGCGGCGGCGAAGCCGCCGGGCCCGTGCCGCCTCCGGCAGGATGGCGAGCAGCTGCTCCTGCACCAGCATCTCCACGATCTGCTCCTTTGTGCGGATGTCGGGTCGCAGCCACTGGCGGGAGAGCTCCCGCAGCTGACGGAACGCCTCCCGCGGGCCTGCGGCGTCCTGGTAGCGGAACTGTCGGAAACGCTGGCGGAACGTCTCCGGGCCGGGTCGGGAGCCGCCAGGGTGTGGAGGGGAGCGCGGAGCAGCTTCGGCAAACGGCGGGGCGCCCTGGGCTGGGGGAGGCAACTCCAAGGCCGCGGAGGCCGCCTCAGGAGGCGTAGGAATCGCTTCGGGGACCGCGGCGTTGGGGCTGGAGGGCTCGGGGGCAGGCGGTGGGGCCTCAGGGGTCGACGAGGAGCCCGCAGAGTTACGCTCCGGGCCTGAGCTCAGGCCGGCTCCTTCCTCCTTCTCTGGCGGCAGCGCGAGGCCCCCAGCAGCCACCAAGCTCGGCTCAGTCTCCGCCATGACTCCAAGCTCCGGACGTCACTCTTTGTCTAGCAGCCGTGGGCTCAGCACTGCGTCTGCGCGGGGGCGGGCTGAAAGAGGGAGACGTTTGGTGTGTAAGGGCCGAGCCCGCGCGGCCTCCGGGGAGGCGGATGGGGGCTGGCTGACAGCCAACCGAACTCGACCGCACCGTCAAAGCGCCCGAGGGGACCGAAAGCGGAAGTCCCTTCTAGCTTCTATGATGAGCTCGGTGCCAGAGCGCCCGGAAGCCGAGTCCCGGCTCCCGGAAGCGGCGCCCCCCCGCGTTAGCGAGTCACGTCGGGAGGCGGCTGTGACTGAGGGGCCGGGGTGGACCTATCCAAGCGTGCGCAGGGCTCGTCTTCGCGATGTCGCCTCCCAGCACCAGTTCGAGGAATCGGAGTCCGAGGAGGAGGGGGAGGAAGAAGAGGAGGAGGAGCTGGAGGAGGAGGAGTCCAGAGGGGTCTTTACCCGCTATAAGCTCTTCGGCCCGCAGGTGATTTGCACTTCCCGCTGCGTGCACACCTCTTTATCATACGGCGAACCACGGTTTCGCTGGGGCTGGCGCCCGGCCGGTGGCGGGAGCGGGGCGGCGGGACGGAGATCGGCACGAGGGGAGCCTCCGACCCGGGGAAGTCCTCTTTTCCGTCAAAAGAGGAGGGCAGTGGCACTCGTCTTGTTGCGAGGATGACAAAATACAACGTGTGAAGATCCCCAACACGCATAGTAAGACTCTCCCCTCCCATGGCACAAAGTATATGCTCAAGAACTGTGTGCCATTATTATATTTTGCGTGTCCTTTGAAACCAAGGGACAGGTGCCTCTGTGGGTTCTGCTTTTAACATTAAGATTAGACTGTGAATGCCTTGCCCCATATGCATGGGCTTACTGAGCCCTTGAAATGTGGCTAGTCGGATTTGGGATGTGCTGTAATGTAAAATACACTCAAGATTTAGTACAACAAAGAGTAAAATATCTCAATATTTTTTATATTGATTACATGTTAGATTGATAATATTTTGCATATGTTGGGTCAAATAAAGTGTATTATTAAAATTAGCCTGTGTCATTTTACTTTTTAAATGTGGCTACTAGACAAATTTAAATTATATGTATGGTTTGCATTATATTTCTGTTAAGCAGCCTTGTGCTACCGTTTTTGGAGTCAGGCTGCCTTGGTGGAATCCCCATTTCAGGGTTTATTTGCCTTAGGCCAGACATGTTGAGAGGATTAAATCAGCAAAGCCCTTTGAAAGAAAGGGCTATGTTTGCTATTGTCTTCATTATGTAAATTGCTATTTCTGAGCTGCAGGGTTTTTTTTTTAATCTGTAAAATGTGAAAGTAATACAACTTACCTCATAGAAGTTAAGAGAATTCAGCAAGATGATGCAGATAAAAGCATGTAGCTCTGATAACCCTTCAGTGATATATTCTGTTTGACGGCTGACTCAAATTATGTTTTGTATCGCCATTTTATGGATAGGGAAACTAAGACCCAGAGAGAGGGGACCCATATGAAAGGTTTTGTCTGAGCTCTGTGCAGAAGGAGTGGGTCTGTTTAACAACTTGCAATACACCAGCAGCCCTCATATAAAACTTGCCCCCCCATAGGATGTGCTCTCTTGGATGGGTAGAAGTGGATCCTCACAGAACATTTTTCACAGCTTGAAAACCTTGAAAGTCATTGCAGTGGGTCTTGAATATTTTTTTAGTTATTGACACTTAAAATTGGGAGATTTCACATGCGAAACTGGATTTCCAGCTTTTCTTGAAAAAGTAGATGAGCTGACCACATTGGACCCACCCACATTCCTGCCAAGCAACAATTAATTAGCTGGAGCTGAGTCGAGTCTCCTTTTAGACAAGATGCTCTGTCCCAGATGGCCTCAATCCCCACCACTCCCTTTTGTCTCAGAAACAGAATGCTGTTTACATTTACTATTGCTCTCAGGTTGTTGTTTTCCTTAGAGCTGATATTTTTCTTTATTTCCAGAGGTGGGAAAACAGGTGCCTAGAGTTTGTTATACCTACTAGCTTCAAACCTTTACTTCCTCTGCTTTGCCTCTTGGCATTTTGATTCACTGCCCTGAGTGAACCAACAGTCCTATTCCCTGGGTGGTAACAGGCAGTCAGAAACCTGGGTTTAAGGGAGCACATCAAACCTTGCTGCAAGGACGAAGGGTCATGGAAGGCTTTACTGGGAGACTTCAAGCTGATACTCAAGAAGAAAAAGGGTAGATTTAGGGGCATTCCAGGTAGAAGGCATTGCCTATGCCAAGGCACAGAGTGAATGGGAGCAAAACTTTGTGGAAACTGCAGACTAAAAGGGGGGGGTGGCCAGGGTCTGGGAAAGGGATGAAAGCTGAGGTTGGAAGGTCATTTGGAAGTTAAATCATAGACTGCCTAGAATTCCATGTTGAAAAATGTAATCCTTGTTCTGTCAGGGAAGGGAATGAACTCTTGTGGTCCATGGAATCACAGAATGTTAGATCTCTAGTCCATTTCTCGCATCCCTATTAGAATCATAGAATATTAGAAATCGAGAGATCTTGGAGATCTATTAGAATTGGGGAATGTTAGAATGGAAGGGACCATTGACATTAAATCCAAAAATTAGATGCAGTTATTCTAAACTCTATGGGTGAGCAAATCCCCAGAATCTAAAAAAAAAAAAAGTTAAAATACCTCTTCTGGAATTATCCTACATACTTATGCATATGATTTCAGGTGATTCCCAGGTATCCTTGAACCCATCCACAGGACCCAGGTTAAGTTTAAAATATATTTATATGTATTCCATTCTCCCGAATTTTGCAGGTTAGGAAGTCAGCACACCAAGAGGAAATGGACTGGTCCAAACTAAAACACCTAGTAAGTGGTTCCATGAGGACAGAATTCTTTTGACTTGTAGTCCAATGTTCTTATCATATTAGGCCTTTTCATTAGCACTAGGTTGGGAGCTCACTTCGGAAGGGATCATAAATCATGCATCTCCTATCACTTAGTTTCCAACATAAGATTCCCAGTTGGACTCTCCGTAAATGTTGAATCAAGGGAAAAAGGACAAGTAGTGGGTTTCATCTATGAAGGGGAGCTCTAATATGATTCCCATACTCTTTCAGAGACTTTGGTGTCTTTTAATGGCATACTGTTGGGGGTTGTGGTATAGAAGCCTCGATACTTTTTTTTTTAAGGCTTTTTATTTGGAAATAATTATGGCTTCATAGAAAGTTGCAAAAATAGTACAGAGAGGTCTTATGCACTTTTCACCCAGTTTTCCCCAGTGGTGATATCTTGCACAATCATAGTACAATATCAACATCAGAAGATTGACAATGATACAATCCACAGAGTTTATTCAGATTTTACCAGTTTTTTTTTTTAATATATATATTTTTAAAGATTTTATTTATTTATTTGAGACAGAAGGAGAGAGAGCACATGAGAGGGGGGAGGGTCAGAGGGAGAAGCAGGCTCCCTGCCGAGCAGGGAGCCCGATGCGGGACTCGATCCAGGGACTCCAGGATCATGACCTGAGCCGAACACAGTCGCTTAACCGACTGAGCCACCCAGGCGCCCTCAGATTTTACCAGTTTTATAAGCGCTTATTTGTGTATGTGTATAGGCCTATGCAGTTTTATCACGTGTAGATTCATGTACCTGTGCCACAATATCTAGAAATGTTTGATGACCACTAAGATCCTTTAACTGAACTAAAGTGATTTTGATCCTTGGTGAATTACAGATAGAAACTATACCACATAGAGTGCTCTCACAAAGTAAACTGTATTTGCAGCAAATAAGGAGATCGCGGGTAATAACTTCCAAAGCTGTGACTCTGAGCAAGGGTGAATGGATTCCTTTTATTTAGGTAAAGTAGGATGAATATTTAGATAGGAAAGCCTTGTCATCATATGTAGAGGTGGGCATAAAGTCATGCATGCACCTTAAGGAAACATGCCTATGCGTGTATTGTGCATTATGTAAATGAGGTTTGTGCTCCTCCTTGAGTGCAGATTTTAGTATTATAATGAGGTAAAGGTAACAATTGGTCATTCCATGGCCCATCTGCGCATGCGTGAGTCAGGGGTTGAGTTCAAACTGAACTGGGTGGTCTGGGCCAGCTGCAGCATTTTGTCCAGGCAGTCCTTACTGCTTGAGGGTTTTCAGTTTCCATCACAGGATGCTCTGCCCATTGGGTCTTTTGCCTGAGTTAAAGAGATAAGCTGGAAAGAAGAGCTTAAGGAAAAATGTGGGACAGAGGTTGGTGAGTACAAGCAGGTAGGCAGCAAAGGTCAGGTCTTGAGGTCTAGTTCTGACAGTCCCTCATGCTACCGCTTTATAATTACACCCATCCCTCTCCCCTACCCCCCATCTCTAGCCGCAGGCAACCACTAATCTGTTCTCCATCTCTATAATTGTTTCATTTCAAAAATGTTATATAAATGGAATCATACAGTGTGTAACCATTTGGGACTGGCTTTCTTCACTCAGAATAATTCCCTGGAGAGTCATCTAGGTTTTATATGTTTCATAGTTTGTTCATTTTTATTGCTGAGTAATAAGCCATGGTGTGGATATGCCATGGTTTGCTTAGTCACTGGTTGAAGGACATTTGAGTTATTTCCAATTTCAGGCTATTCCAAAATGAAGCTGCTATGAATTCTTTTATCCTATGGCTTTAGATAAGTCCGACTCTTTCTGAGCCTGGAGGTAGTAACTACCACACAGAATGGCTCTGAAGAGTCAAAGAGGAAATATATGTACAGGAACTGGTACCAGGTCTGATATTATTTAGATGCTCTTTAATTTCTTACCTCAATGTTTTATTGTTTTCAGCATACAGCATCTGCATATATTATATTTATACCTAAGTATTTCATGTTTTTAGTGCTACTATAAATGGTGTCGTTTGAAAATTTTCAGTTTCTAATTGTTCAATGGTATATAAAAATACAATTGATTCTTGTCTAATGACTTGTATCCTGTGACTTCATTAAACCATGAAACTCACCCCCATTGGGGCTGTTTTTTCATTTTTACTACCTGCCCCCCACCCCAGCACACTTGCCATTAATTACTTGTAAGAGTCCCAAGTTGTGTTTTGTCCGAAGTTTTTGGTTACAATGGACAGGGGAGAGCGCCTGTAATGGGGTTACTACATCTTGGTTGCCACTGGAATTATTTATTCTGATGCCCAAATTACCCTATATTTGACTAGTAAGAACGCCTTCAGGCTGACTTCTATCATTTTTTGAAAATTTCCATACTTTTCAGCACATCTTGTACCTTCCCTATCCCAGCTCTGGAATCAGCCATTTCTCCAAGAAACCCTTGTTCTTTTAGTGGAGAATGGTGTTTAGAAACCAAGATTTGGGCACTGGGTTTGTTCATTGCTGTTGGAATAATCACTGCTCCTAGGCTCCCTCATGAACAGAGTGAGGAAAAGTACCGGGAAAGTTAGTAAAGGAAACCTCAACTAAAGTTGGGTTTGGGAAGACTTATAGGGGGAGCTCTCACGCAACCACTTGTGGCCAGTTACCCCAAAAAAGAGGAGGAGAGGTACCTTGCATCTCCAACAGGAAGGGGTTACTACTTCACCACTCTGGCAAAAAGAAGATATTCTTCTGACCCAGCAACAAGCCTGGCCAATGGGAAGTGCTCTGGTTCAGCCAATGAGAAGCCATCATCCCAAACTCTTACTTTCCTCTGAGGAACCTTCATGCTTCCTTTACTAGTGACTTCCTCGTCCTACAGTCCTCTCTATGAAAGCCTCCCATTTTGCATAACTCTTCAGAGTATTTCTGCTTGCTAGATGAGGTGTTGCATGATTTATGAATTGTTTGATAAAACCAATTAGATCTTCAAATTTACTCAGTTTTTAAATTTACTCAAATTTACTCAAATTTTAACTATATATCTATTTATTTATGCATCTGTTTCTATATCTGTCTACATATATATTGAAATCCAGGTGTTCACACCAACACCTTCAACTCAAGTTCAACACCATGGGGTTTATTCTAGTTTTTGCCCTTTCCATTCATTTAATTCTCTTTTTCAACAGAGAGAAACCTGGCTCTCATGATCTTTTTTGACCATTCCTCCTATGAGTAACTAGTCTCCTGTTGTTGCTTCCATCTCCCATCATCCTTACCCTGCCCAGGGCTCCAGGGCTACCGGCTCGCCAACCACAGCCTCCTCCACCCCCAGGCAGATGCCTACCATGGCTGGTACCATCTAATGGCTTCTGGATGATCATTTAAGAATGGAGGAGGAAGGGGAACATTCTTTTTTTTTTTTTTTTAACTTAAAGAAAAATTGTGGTGAAATCTACAAAACAAAATTTACCATTTAAACCATCTTTAGGTGTATAGTTCAGTGGCATTTAAGTACATACACATTGTTGTGTAACTGTCACTACCATCTGTTGCCAGCAAATTTTCATCTTCCCCAACTGAAACTCTGTACCCATTAAATAATAACTCCCCATTCACCCCTCTTCCCAGTCCCCTGCAACCACCAGTCTATTTTCTGTCTCTATGAATTTGTAGGAACCTCATACAAAGGGAATCCTACAATATTTGTCCTTTTGTGTCTGGCTTGTTTCCAAGTTCGAATATTTCCAAGTTTCATCAACATTATAGCATGTATCAGAATTTCCTTCCTTTTTTTTTTTTTAAAGATTTTTTATTTATTTATTTGAGAGAGAGAGAATGAGAGAGAGCAAGCACATGAGAGAGGGGAGGGTCAGAGAGAGAGGCAGACTCCCTGCCGAGCAGGGAGCCCGATGCGGGACTCGATCCAGGGACTCCAGGATCATGACCTGAGCCGAAGGCAGTCGCTTAACCAACTGAGCCACCCAGGCGCCCCGAATTTCCTTCCTTTTTAAGGCTAACATTCCATTATATATAGATAGCACATTTTGCTTATTCATTTGTCAATGGACATTTGGGTTTTTCTACCTTTTGACTATTGCAAATAATACTGCTGTGAACATTGGTATACAGATATCTTTTGGAGTCTCTGCTGTTAATTCCTCCGAGTATATACCCAGAAGTAGAATTGTTGGATCATAGGGTGATGCTTTACTTAAATTTTTGAGCAATTGCCATGCTGTTTTCCACAGTGGCTCCACCATTTTACATTTACACCAGCAACGCACTTGGGTTCCAGTTTCTCCCCATCCTTGCCAGCAGTTGTTATTTTGCATTATTTTCTCAATGGGAGATGTTAAATAGAAAATTTTAAGGTAAGTTATGAGTAGACAGGATATTCATATTTTCAACAGATCTAGTAATCTTATCATTTCATTTACACTCACCACACACTACATGCATCATTCCAGGAGGCCGGCTGTGATCATGGTGAAGAGAAAGCAGGTTCAGCTAATGAGGTGGTTTGGATACAAGGGCCCCAGGATGTTCCTTGTGTGTGTGTGTGTGTGTGTATGTGTGTTTTGTTTTTTTAAAATCTTTCATTACAAAGTCTAAGAAGCTTGCTCTGGTCTCTCTACTGACTTTATTTCTTTTTGGTAACCTATTTTATCAAATATGTTTGATCTTGGGGTAAAGGTCTTTTATCTTTTGATGTCTTGATAAGCTGCAGATACTGGTCTAGGGTGCTTAATCTAGCCAGATTACGTTTGTAATTAACTCAGTTATTACTAATTATTGTTCCTGATAAACCAATGTAAATTCAAAAGCCTGGGTACTTTATAATCCTTTTGTCATTTTCTCCTTTCACTTATTTCTATTCAATTGCAACCCTCCTAGTTCCTAGAACTCAGTGAACCTGTTTTGATTGTGGTGCTCTCCTAGTAGCTGTGTCCCTCATTGCACTGCATTGATTTTGCTTAATTACTTAGAAAT